GGATCCAAGAGCTGGCGCAGGCCTGGGGGGCACAGATTTCCGGTGGAAAACCCGCGGTGCGTCCAGTCAGCAATTCTCCGGGGGCGAGCGGCTTACTGCGGTGGAGCAAAGGGGGCGGGGGCAGCTTGGAGAGTATTTTTGGGCATTGCCCTCCTGTTCCCCAGCTTGATGCTTGCCAATTGGTGCTAAGCCCTAAGCTTGTGCAGTGATTCTACACAAAATGCCAGTGGTTCCATTTGGCTTTTCCAGTTTGCGCGGTTTGCCCTTCATGCGGTTCTTTCCCGTTTGGGAACGACAGGGATCCCTAGAAGTGCAGAAGTCCTCTTGCAAAAAGTGCCTTCATTTTCCCCGAAAACAGCAGAAAACCACGGACTGGACAGGACACCATTGCCTACACCGCCGCCATTGCGACTGTCGAGCCCTTGGGTCGCTGGCAGCTGATGCTGGAGAGAGGGCGAAGGGTGGAGGGAGGGCGAGCGTGAGCCCCATTTTTGTTTCATTTCTTTTTATATTAATAACAACATGTTTCATTATTTCTGGTGGTGCGAGAAGGCATCAACAGGAAACAGTTTGTTCGGCTTTTGGGGAGATCCTGCATTCTACGACACACCCAGAATATGCAAATGCCGCGGTGCCTTCGATTTGCTCACTTAAATGTCACTCTGCTGCATTGAGACTGATGTGTTAGCGCTGTTTCTGGTTTGCGTGACATTCGCAGTCTCAGTAGTTTGTGCGCGGCTCATATTCCGCCGTGGATCAAAATGTGCAATTTCGCGTGTTTTTACCCCTTCGACCAGCTGCAAGCACAATCAGTGCTTGCAGCTGCCCATGCCAGCCAGATGGTGAGGACACCCGCTAACGCGCGCCCGCTCAGCACTGCACGCATGCCAGACAAATGGTAAGAACACCCGCTCACGCGCACCCTGTACCCATGCCAGCCAAATGGTAAGAACACCCGCTCACGCGCACCCGCTCAGCATTACACACATGCCAGCCAAATGGTAAGAACACCCGCTCACGCGCGCCCGCTCAGCGCTGCACACATGCCAGTCAAATGGTTGCTCACGCGCACCCGCTCAGCACTGTACCCATGCCAGCCAAATGGTAAGAACTCACCACCCACTCAGCGCTGCACGCATGCCAGCCGCTCACGCGCACCCGCAGAGTACTTTACCCATGCCAGCCAGATGGTAAGAACACCCGCTCACGCGCTCAGCGCTGCACCGGCTCACGCGCGCCCGGACAGCACTGCACACATGCCAGCCAACTGGTAAGAACACCCGCTCACGCACCCGCTCAGTGCTGTACCCATGCCAGCCCAATGGTAAGAACACCCGCTCACGCGCACCCGCTCAGCACAGTACCCATGCCAGCCAGATGGTAAGAACACCCGCTCACGCGCGCCCGCTCAGTACTGCATCCTTGCCAGCCAGATGGTAAGCAAACTCGCTCCACCCTGCAGTGAACCAGCAGGTTTTCGAGTCGACCTGGCGGCATTCTTGCTTGCCCTGGAGGCTCTGCTGTGACAAGGAACGCGGTCGGTGTTTGATTGGGAAAAAGCAGTGCGTCGTGCCGGCTTGAAAGTAGTTCACGAGGAACAAAACCATTGTTTTCATTGGGAAAACCAACGAAAGCAGTAACCCTGCTTGGGGTGGACGTGTGAAAAGCACGAAAATCACTTAAGGCTTCGGTTCATTTGTTCTTCTTGACTTGTGCTACTGAAATCCTGTTTTGTCTCACGGCGGAATATGAGCCGTGTTCCTAGTTCCGGCAATCTTGCAGAATCCATTTTCCTTGTTGTCTCACTTCTGTTTTCTCCTCTCTTTTGTTTGGCGGGGCTGCCAGGGGACAAAGCAAGATTTGTTTCCTGTATGCACAAGCATGAGAGGTGAGAGGTATATTTTTTACGGTTCTATGTCTGTATGTATGTACACACATATGTATCTATATATATATGTATGCAAATCTGTGTATATATATATATATATTATACGTGTATATATATATATATATCTCTCTCTCTCTCTCTCTCTTTCTCTGCCTTTCCCTTTCTCACATTCTCTTTATCTTCCTTTTTCAAGGCGCTACCAGGCCCTTAAGTATTGACCGCAGCCACTTCCTCTTGCAAGCTGCATGCCCAACAACACCTCCAGTTTCATTTCCAAAGCAAAGCCCTCTAAGTATGGTTTCAGCTTTCCTCTCCCAGGCCCCCCCTCAAACTTACCCCTTGGTTCCAGATCTTCCATCTGTATCCCTCCCTCCCATGGGTCGCAGATCTGTCCAAATTGTCGATCTCCCACAAGGTTCCCTGGTTCCCATGGGTATCTCATGACCTTTTCCGTGCGTTTTGCATGTCACTCCTGGTTCTTTCTCCGTGTCTTTGGGCACGCTTCCGGTCAGGAGCTTCTCGCAGTCATGCCCTCCCCCGACGTTGTGGCCTACGGCTCTGCCGTCAGCGCCTGTGCAAAGGCGGGAAGACGCATATTTTTTTGGGGGCTTGGGAGGCATGGGGAATGACCCCCTATGAACAATCCTTTGTTGTTTCCTGCGAGGGCCTCCCTAGGTTCATCTCTAAAACCCCGAGCCCTCAAGAAAACAACAACCCGGCTCAGGGTCGCTGGTGGATTTTTGCACCAGGACACGGATTATTGTTTTGAATCCTGACGGCACAGTGCATTGCCTCGTGCTTCCAGTTAGTGGGGCTTGTCACTGGATTTCCGTTTCCCAAAATGGGATTGTCCAGGTCAAGACAGGCCTTGAAGAATATTGTGCGGCCTTCCGATGAATCAACCGTGCCGGTCACGCGGCGTTTTTGTTTGTTTGTTTGGGGGCAAAGATCTTGATGGACACCGCCAGGCAAATCATGCAGGCAAATCGGCTTGCAGTTTAACAGGGGTCCAGCTCTATTTCCCTTTTTGGTGGTTTTAAACATCGCCCTTCTGGGCCCATGAAAGGAGAGCTTCCCTTGGTGGGGGTGATGTTCTAAGGTATAGGGAGCCCTGAGTTTGCATCAGTGGGCAGTCGGTGGTTTCACGAATTGAGGTCCGCCCAGTTCACCGTTTGTGTTGACAGAACTTCACCCAGTCCTCTCGTCTCTTCACGATCCGCGCTCGGGCCGGCGAGTTTTTTTGTTGCGCTCGGCCAGGCGGGTTTCTGGGAAGGAGCCGCGGCGCTGCTGTGTGAGATGCAGCTTGGCTTGGCTGGCGGGGGGGGGGCTCCTGCCTCTGGCGGATGGCAAGGTCGGCTCTTTCAGCTTTTCGAGCTCGTGGGAGTTTCCACGAGGTGTGAGTTGCCACTTTGCAAAGGGGAGCTTGTGCGGTGAATTCGGAGATTGCTTGATTCCGGGTGGTTTAGAACAAATGCCTGGGCGGAGGGCTAGACTCCACCCCTAAGGATTTTCACAATGTGGGAATACCTTTTGTTCACGCTGTGTGCACATTGGCATCCTACAGTCGGCATCAGCCTCGGAACATGCATGGCAGAGGACTGCACATCTGTGGAGTGTGTTTCTTCACAAAACAAGAAACACTCCCTTACCCCGCCCGCCAAACCTGAAGAATGCGATACCGTAACTACGTGGAAGGAGTCCGCCCCCCTCCCCCCTCCCTATGAGCGGGTGCTGCGAAAACAACGACGTAAGCCTCACCCCAACCACCCTGAACCCCTGCATGCACCTACCCTAAAGCCCAAGCACACCCTCAACCAACCTCAATAAAGTCCCAAATCGACCCGAGGTCGACCCAAAACCCAGACCTTGAGCACACCCAACACCTGCCCAGAAACATGTCCAAGAGCAAACCTGAGCCCTAAACCTGGTCCTTAGCCCAACGAGCCAATGCTAAAGTACCCCCAAGGGATCCTTACCCCGACCCCAACCCCACCCCACATCAGCTGAGCCCAATAAAAGCATACCCAGACGCTGTGGAGGACCAGCATCAGAGGACAAGCCCCTCCAACTTTTCTCCTTTCCCTCGCGTTCCAGGCGGTGGTTGGGTCCTCTGACCCGTGGGTCCGAGGTCCGCGCGCCGCGTGCGGCCGAACGCGGTGTGTTTGAACTCTGCCATCACGGCCTGCGGCCGCGGCACCAAGTGGCTCCAAGCCCTGGGGCTGCTGGAGCTCATGGCGGACCAGGATGGGGCGTGTTCGTCGTGTTGGGGAAGGCTGTGGGTTGGTTGGTTGGTGGGTGGGTGGGTGGGTGGGTGGGTGGGTTGGTTGGTTGGTGGGTTGGTGGGTTGGTGGGTTGGTGGGTTGGTGGGTGGGTGGTTGGTTGGTTGGTTGGTCGGTCGGGGGTTTGAAAGGGGAACCAGACGGAAAGCAACCACTTTGGTGGATGAAGGAAAGTTTTCGCCGCGGTGAAATTGGTGCAAAGTCGCTTCAGGTGAAGGGGGACTCGTTTTTTTTTTGCCCCTCTAGGATCTCAGACAGGGCCCTGTGAACGAGCATTTGGTGCAAGGCGGCTGCGGGCCCCCAAGCAAAACTGATACAGATGCTGGGTCAGTTTCTAGTTGTCAAAGTCTGAAAATGGAATCGGTTGTTTCCCTTTAGCCCCATCACTTAGGGGGTGACTTTGATGGTGAAACAATGCGGCCGCAGAAACCGGAGACTGGAGACTCGCCAAGGGGAATGAGACCACTGCAGATGGGATATGCTGTTGTGAAGTTGCAGGGATATGGGTATGGGTCAAAACAAACCCACAAAACAAACAGCTTTTAGTCTTTGGTTCCGTTTATCAGGGCTCCATTTTGGGTACGCATTTTTGACCCACAGCCATATGCTGATTCTTGGCCCGGCCCTTCATCTGGCGAGGTGGTGCGCCCGGATGCTGTGAGCTTCTGTGCCTTGATCAGCGCCTGCGCGGTGGGCGCGCAGTGGCAGGCTGGGGTGGGGCAGCGCAAGCGGCGGCCGGGATGGGGTAGCTGCAAGATTTATTTTTTTCCCCCAGTAGTGCCCTTTTCCCAACTTATTTGGGGGAGGGTTCCCCTACTAAAATAGACTACAGCAAAAAAGGGTACTCTTATTCTAACCTCTCTACTGGAGGACCTAGATTTACCCTGGAGATTCCGCTCAAGATTGTGTTTGATGTGTTTTTATGCTAATCCTTGGACGTGCAGCGGTCGAGCGCCACACGCACTTTTTGCGCGTGTTGTGGAGGTGCCAATCAGGTTCCATGTGCGGATGGCTAAATCTGCTTCAAGTTGGGGGTCAAGATGGCTCTTTGCTTCCTTGGAGCAAAGGTCTTCAAGTTGGGAGCCGAAAGGCAGCTGAAATAAGCTCCCCCCAAGATTGGTGGCTTCCAGTGTTTTGAAATCGCACCCAAAAAGGGAAAAGGCGCCCGCAAAGAGGAACATATATATGTATATATTATATGTATATGTATATGTATATGTATATGTATGTATACCCAAACTGCCCCCATTGATCCGCAGGTTGCTCTTGGGCTGCTTGCAGCCATGCCAAGCCGGCAGCTGCAGCAGCTGCCCGGATGAGTTGGGAGCTAAAATGGCGGAAAATAGGGCTTGAGGCCCAGGCAACTCCTCAGTGATATCAAAAAACCTCTCGTTGCGTGGCAAAGCCGACAATGAGAGGACTCCCGCAACAGGCATATAGACAAGTGAGGAGTTTTGATTCCCTGCAGCGGGGTGGCAGTTGAAAGGAGGCGACATATAATAGTTTTAAGGCTGCGTGTCATCGGACCAGTTTGGCGTGTCAAAGGGAACCCGATCAAGTCCAGGCGATCGTGGTTACACGATGGGCCAGGCTGAGCTACCGCCACTTAGAGAACGAGACACTTTGCACGAAGCGGACTCTTTCATGGTAGGCAAGGGCCTAAAATGTGTAGCAGGCCGTGCAAGCTGCGCTTGACATTTTCGCGGGGCCAGCGGCATTCGCAAGCCAAGAGTTGCGTCGAGGCCAAGTCTTTTTTTTTGGGGGGGCCCCCGCCCACCCCCCTTGCCACTTTCCACCTCCCCACCCCCACTCCGCCACCCCTCGATCGGATCGCTAGCGCTCAAGGAGCGAGGTGGGCCTGAACTCTGCGATGAGCGCCTGCGAGAAAGCAGGGCAGTGGCAGAGGGCCGTGGATTTGATGCGGGGCATGGGCAGCCAAAGCGCCCTGGCGGAACCGCGGGGCGCGGGGGGGGGGTTTTGGTCAGTGAAGAGGGGACTAGCAGGAAACCTGGGGGAGGCACTCAAGCTGCCAGGGCAGAGCTTGAGAACTTTGCTTTGGCATCTTTCAGGTTTCCTCCCCTTCTCTTTCTCCTTTGTTTTTCTTCCACCCGGCAGGGTTCCGTTTTTGGACTTCCCCAAGGTCGACTTAAACGCAGGGGTTTCCCTTTGAAAGCAACCAACCCCCTGGGTTGAAGTCGACTTTGTGGTAGTCCAAAAAAACGGAGCCCTGCCACCCAGTTGGGCCGTGGTCAAACCTCGTGTTGGCGGTTTTGGCCTTTTTCTTCGCGCCGAGGCTTGCTGCCGGACGCGGTCACCGCCGGCACCGCCGCCATGGCCTGCGATGCCGCGGACGCTTGGCGGACTTTGGACGTGCGATCACCGAAGTTCGAGGCTGTCCGAGGATTGGTTGGCCCCAGATGAACCAACCCCTGGTTGATTTTGACTGGGGGGTGTCCAATTCCTTTGAGTGGGGATTCGCCACTTTTTAGGGAACGCCCCCCCAAAAATGGGACAGGTTTATGAATCCGGGGTCAACATTACCCTCTCCCACGTTGCCATGGCAACCTGACAGGGAATCGGTCGCTATGGAGGAAACTTATCTTCCAGATCCCGGGTACCTCCTGCTGCCATGTTAGTGGGAAGAAGCCAGATGTGCCATATCCTTGTGCCAAGGAGCAGTGGCAGCGGTCCATTCTTCTCCAGGGCGCGGCAGGCACACGGGTTGACCATTCTTACAGGAGGGGATTGCCTCTTCGTAGGCCAGCATTCTCGGGGTTGTTTCCATCGATCTTTTCAATACCCGGCTGTTTACCCTGGTTTTTGACGGTTTCCTGAACAGAAGGATCCGTGGAAAGAATGGGGAAGGTACCCATAGAAGCATTTCCCCCCATGTTGCGCCAGCGTTGGCATGAGCAACTGGAATGGTTTGCAGCTTTTTGCCCTCTGACCAAACGGTACGCAAGCCATTGCTGTTTATTCACGTTCGCATTGCCAGTTTGCAGACGCTGCATTTGACATATTGCCAGTCTTGCTAGGCCACCAGCACGCTTCGGCCAGGCCGGCGTGCGGGGATGTCATATGGGTCTTGCCGTCTTGCCATGGTCCAGTAGCTGTGCCTGCCAGGAAAGGAATCATTCAAAGGAGACACCAGCTGTTTCCGGTGAAGGTGCTATGCCAGCCGAAAACGGTAGGTTTCTTTCCTTTTGCGGCTTCGACACAACTGGCTGTGGGTCAAAACCATTGGTACCATTTTGGGGGTAGGTGCACCACCCCTTTTAGGCTTTATTTTAGTGGGGATTGGGATGTTCACTGGGGGTACGATTCGGTTTTTGGACCCATGGCCAACTTGAGTTGCCGATGGGAAGTTTGCACACCCGTCCTAGGCTGCCTCCGTCATAGGCCCCCGCCGGGCCCCGGTTGAGCCAGGTGCACGCCAGAGGAACTGGTCGAGCTGGCGGGGAAATGGGGAGGGGGAAATGTTGGGCTCAGCGGGTGACCCCGTAATAATCAACCCCAGTTGATGAATAGGGGGTGTCCCTGGGTGAAATGTGGGGAATCATCACTTTTGGAGGGTAACGCCCCCCTTTAGGCGAAAATAACAATTTTTGATCAGCTTTCGGTGTGCAAGCGGCATCTTGCCTATGGCGCCGGTTTTCGCAAAATGACCCGCAGCCATGGTCATTTGCGGGAGGATAAAGGCGAGGGGACCCCAAACTTCACCCATGTGAGGCCCGTTAGCCCTTGAGAACAGTTTTCATTGGGAATGTCCCACAAATCCGCGGGGCGGCGCTACCCCTTGAGAACAGTTTTCATTGGGAATGTCCCACAAATCCGCGGGGCGGCGTTATTTTTGTTTTCTTTGTTTTTCCCTAAAGTAACGAACACTTTCTTGGTCTGGAATCTCTTTGCAGGCCCCGTTTTTGTCTAAACACGCCATGTTTGGGGAATTCCTCGGACTTTTTTTTTCTGGGTTGCCTGGGTGTGATCGTATTCTAAGAGACCAGCTACAGGAAGTTCTCCAGACAAGCCCCAGGTTTTGGTGGGTATTAGGCCAACTTCCTGGAGACGATCCAGCACTTGGTCCTGGTTTCTATGATGCCGGGATCTCCAGGTTTTTAACATCCTACCGGGGGTGGATCCGCAAAAGCCGCCTTGCAGAACCCCATGGCCGGTTTTCGCCCCCAAACGCCCCTCGGGTGCCACTGCGAGATCTTCGCCGCGGCCTCGGCGGGCGCCGCGAGGCCGCAGCTCCTCGCCATGGTGCGGCGCCTTGGCCGTTCCGGTCCGTTTTCATGTTTGACGCGTGGGCCATGGGCTAAAAGTCAAAATCCAAATCGTCCCAGTGGCTACATCCGATGCTAATGCAACCAGTAAAATGGGTTCTAAGATGGGTGGTGAATTCACCGAACGCCCCAAAATGGGATCCCATTTTTTTTGACCCAGCCACATGGGCATGGGTCGAAATTAAGCAAAAGGACAGGTGAAATCGTCCCTGCTTCCATTTACCATGGGCCACGTGGTATGGGTCGAAGATAAACAAGTGATCGCAGATTCTAGTGCTTGCTGCCTATTGTTTCCAAGGCTTCCATTTCGGGCCCTACTTTTGACCGCCGACACCCTTTTGAAGACTTTCAAGGGTCAAAGGAATCAGTCCCCAAAGTATGGAAGTGCTCATTCCACCATGCTCGGGTGTATCTGATTCCCCCAGGTGCTGGTAGGTGCCTCTTACAGGGTCAAGGTGCAGGATTTGGATGGCCATTGCAGCTAGGATCTTTCGGTGAATTCACCACCCATTTTAGTCTGTATTTTAGTGGTTGGATTGAATCGGATGTAGCCACTGGGACGATTTGGATTTCGGTTTTAGCCCATGGCCCGGGTGTCCTACGGATCGCCCTGCGTGTCGACGCGGTGTTTTGCCCGTCGCTCGGCGGCGGAGGTCGCAGTTGCCGGAGCATCTGGCGGCCGGGCGCCTGCCCTGGCGCGCCACCGCACGGCTGGCGTGGGCCCTCGCGAACCTCCAGGCGACGTCGGCTGGGATTTGGACGGCGGAGCGGCGGAGTGGGTGGAGTGCTGGAGCAGTTGAGTACAGATGCATATTTGCTGATCTACACACACCTATATATAGATATATACATATAGATAAATACATATATATCTTTATATGTACACACGCACATCGTGTTTGTTTTTTTTTGGGCAAGCGATGGATTTGCCTGTGCATTGGGCATTCAGTAGGCTTCCCATTGATGGAAACAATGACGGTGGGCAACCTGCGGATGTCACTGGACAACAGCCCACAGCAGTGAAGCAGTTTCTGTCTAGGCGATGGTTTGTTACTTGTCCACAGTGAAGCCTTCAAAACATAGGACGACCTGTGTCACTCGTTCATATGCCTTCGTCATACTTGCAAAAAACAGAGGGCCCTATGCAATGCTTTATGTTTGGATGGCCTTTCCTATCCAACAACCATCACGCAGGTGGGGTCTGAAGTGGCCACATTCCGTTCATCGAGTTTCTTCGTATCCGAAAGGTTCTCTTCCCCAGGTGTACGACGCTCAGCTGCTGGATGCCTTACAGGAGGAGCCCAGTGCTCAGCGACAGCGGGCCATTTGCGAGATCATTTGAGGCACCCTTCGCTTGCGGCCTTTGGTCTCTCACACGCTGGGGGGGGTGGGGGGAGGTGGGCAATGAGCGGTGGGGCTTTAGGGAGGTGAATCGCCTCGCAACTGGGCTCCATTTGGCAGGCTGGGCGGGTCCCAGAGCTCGCCCCATTGGGATTGGGCGGGGCCGGGGCCGGTATCCCCCCCATCCGTTGATTCGTCGCCATGGGGACGGCCATCTCGGTGTGTCGCAACGTGCTGGATGCTGCCTTCATGGACGAGGAGGAGCTCTCCTCGGCGCTGGCGTCCCAGTACGGGCCGCAGCTCCTGCTCCGGGTGGATGCCGCGCCCATCAGGGAAGCTTCGGCACCTTTTTTAGCCTGCCTAAATTTTGGTCTTTTTGGCAAATGCATCGCCTTTCTTTTCCGAAACAAAAGTGTTTTCCCGAAAGCATGGCGAAGGGTTCTTCTGTGCGGAGCTCTTGGTCAACTTGCGCAGAGTAACTTGCACAGAGTCACCAGCATGGAGATATCAGGAGCTCTTGGTCAACTTGCGCAGAGCAGCTTGCACAGAGTCACCAGCATGGAGATACCAGCATGGAGATACTCGCGCAGAGTTACTAGCGCAGAGTAGCTTGTATAGAGTCACCAGCATGGAGATACTTGCGCAGAGTCACCAGCATGGAGTCACCAGCATAGAGTTACTTGCGCAGAGCCAAGTGCAAAGAGCCAAGCGCATAGAGCCAAGTGCCCAGAGCGAAGTGCAAAGAGCTAGGTGCATAGAGCTAAGCTAAGCTAGGTGTAGAGGCTCGGCGTTAGCAGCTGTGTAAGCTAGGTTAAGTAAGTTAGGTTAAGTACTTAACGCGCGGGAAAGAAAGAGAAAGAGCTCGGTATTAAGAATCTCTTTTAAGGCGGGGGGTGGGGATGTTACCGACGATCGGGAATGCGACCCTCTGCGGAGATCGGCGTGGTCGAGGTACAAAAAGCTCGATGTTTTTTGCGTTTTTTGATATTCCCGCACGACCCTCTGCGGAGATCGGCGTGGTCGAGGTGCAAAAACTCGAGGGTTTTTTTTGCGTTTTTGTCATTCCCGCGCAACCCTCTGCGGGGATCGGCGTGTTCGAGGTGCAAAAACTCGAGGTGTTTTCCGATTTTTAGCATGCCCGCGCGACCCTCTGCGGGGATCGGCGTGGTCAAGGTGCAAAAAATCGAGGTGTTTTGCGTTTTTGCCGGTGCCCGCGCGGCCCTCTGCGGAGATCGGCGTGGTCGAGGTGCAAAAGCTCGAGGTTTTTTTGTGTTTTTTGACATTCCCGCGCGACCCTCTGCGGAGATCGGCGTGGTCGAGGTGCAAAAACTCGAGGTTGTTGCGTTTTTGACATTCCCGGATGAACCCTCTGCGGGGATCGTGTGTGTCGAAGCGCTCTCGCTGTGGAGATCGTGCGTGTCGAAGCGCTCTCGCTGTGGCGTCGTGCGATTTTGTTGATCGCGAAATGGCCTTTGGAAGTTGTCTCGTGGTTTGCGCGCCTGCTTTCGCAATCCCGCGGTCGCGGGTTCGATTCCCCCCTGAGTCCGCGGCAGCTCCGGCTTGAAAATCGCAGCTTTTAAGTGCAAACGTAGTACGCGGAGCGTGCTCCTGCAGCTCCGGCTGGAAAATCGGAGAGTGCTCTCGCAGCTCCGGCTGGAAAATCGCAACTTTTAAGTACAAGCGTAGTACGCGGAGCACACTCCCGCAGCTCCGGCTGGAAAATCGCAACTTTTAAGTACAAAACATAGTACGCGAAGTACATTCCCACAGCTCCGGCAGCACTTGCGCAGAGCAACTTGCGCAGAGTCACTTGCGCAGAGCAACTTGCGAAGAGCAACTCGGCACAGAGCACTTGCACAAAGCACTTGCGCAGAGCAACTTGCACAGACCAACTTGCACAGAGCACATGCGCAAGGCAACTGGCGCAGAGCACTTGCGCAGAGCAACTTGCTCAGAGCACTTGCGCAGAGCAACTTGCGCAGAGCACTTGCGGGCAGCAGCTTGCAGAGAGCAACTTGCGCGCAGCAGCCTGGAACAATGTAGCTTGCGCAGACCACTTTCGTGAGAAATCGCGCGGCGCAGTTCGTGCAAAGCACATTGCGCCGAGCAGATTCGTGCAGAGCCAACTTGCACAGAGCCAGTTGCGCAGAGCCACTCGCAAAAAGTAGCTTGCGTAGAGCCAACTTTCACAGAGCCAAGCTGCGCAGAGCCATCTTGCACAGAGCTAAGTTGCGCGAGCGTGCTTTGCAGAAAGCTGTGGCTGTCGTGTAAGCTTTGCTATTGATTGCTTTTCCTTTTGCTTGTAATTCGTTTCGAGCTTTACGAGCTTTACTATTCTTGTTTTAACGGATGTAAATATGTGGGATCGAGCACTGCCATGTTTCTGGTAGGACGATGAGATGGAGCTCTCATGTGACCATACACATTGAGCATCGCCGCGCGCAGACACGCTCGCCGCAGCGATGTAAAAAGGTGTCTCCGCGGCTGGATGAGCACCTGGGGAAAAATTCTTTCGGGCCAATCGTCCTCTAGTTCTTTTCCGGTTGGCCTGTTTGTTTGATTGAGGATGGCTCCGGGGTCTTCCCGAACCCTTTCCGGCTGACGGACGAGATCATCCTGGAGGCGGTGGAGGGGGTGAGCAGCTACGGGCTCTTCATGCAGCGCTTCAGCCTGGCCAAGCGCGCGGAGTCCGGGCAGAAATTCCCCTTCCCCTGGCCCAAGACCGACCGCGCCGCGCGGCCGGGTTGAGGGGTTGGGGGTTGGGGGGTTGGGGGGTTGGGGGGTTGGGGGTTGGGGGGTTGGGGGGGGGATTGGGGGGTTTGGGGGTTGGGGGGTTGGGGGGTTGGGGGAGTGGGGTTGGGGTGGGGCTGGGGCCAGCGAATTTTTTCTTCTTGGATCCAGCATGGCAGTTCCATGGCCGGCGGGCATGGGCATCACCGGCGACGGCCGGTGGCGCCGTTCACGCGTTGCGAAGGCAAGCCCAGAAAAAGCATCAAGCTTTCCGCCTTAACGAGATAAAGTGCAGCTCGTTTTATGTTTTGCCCTCGTTGGATGCTTGGCCCTGCCCATCAAACGAGGGATGAATCAGATGCTTCAGATGTCAGATGCATCCTCCTTCGCCGGTTTCGGCTCTTTTCTCGCCGGGCAAAAGCTAGAGGCAAGTTTGGTTTGAGAGAACTTTCGGGTCGTGGCAAACGACATTTTCGCCATGAAACGGGGGGATGCCCTCGCGGCCGCCTTCTTAATTCTTTACATGGTTCTGGGTCGACCATTTTAGTACCGGGTTTTCATCATGACTGATGGGGTCGGCCCTAGCCAATTCGAGGTGGGCATGCCCCACGTCTTCATGCGCGCTCGCGTGGAGGGCACGGGGCGCTACGTGCTGCTGCAGATCTGCGCGTCCGTGGAGCATCAGAAGCAGCAGCGGGTGCTGGCGGCACTGCAGGACTGCAAGGAGGTGGTGCAGCGCTTCGGGTGAAAGTGGGAAGGGAGGTGAGCATAGGTGTCCTTTTTGGTTGTTTGGGTAGAAAATGGATGGCCCTGGTTTACCTGGTGGTTGAAACATCTACCAGGGCCATCTATTTCTGCTAAAAGGACACCTGTGGAGGTGAGGGGATGGGGAGGGTTGAAATCACTAGGTTCCCCTTTCCCTCTTATGAGCATTGTGTCTTATCACGCGACCGGGAAAGCTCAAGCCGAACGAGCCCAAACGTCCTCAGCGCTTGGCGTGACTCCAATTCCTTTGGAAGATGGCGAGGCCAGAAGCAGCTGCACATATCTCTTCAGGCCCCAGATGCGAAGCGCGGTGGGCGCATCTCGCGAAACATAGCGCCCGAAGCAACAGTGAAGTTCATTACGCCACGCCAAACCCGCAAAAATAGAGCTCGGATCTGCAAAACATTCGTGGGCACATGTGGCCAATGATCGAACAAGCCCAAGAAAGGGTATCCTGAAAAAAGTGGGCGTGGTCGGAATATGTCGGAATTGAAAGACGGCCTCAGATAGATTTTGGTCTGAAGGGTGTCCAACTCCTTCCCACGAGATGGACCTTCCGTTATGAATTCTCTGGATGGCTTCTCCTGGTCTCGGTGCGCGGTTTTTGTCAAGGGCGGTGGGAGGGGGATGCCGTGGAAGCTCACCCGGACTGAGTCTGGGCCCCCCAACTTGGCATTGTCAGAAGCTGCGGTCGTGTCCCTTACATGTTCTTAGGGGGTTGACATGGCAAGTAGAGCCGCGCCTGAAAGATCAATCAGCTGCCTTGCCATCCGGTCATGGCAAGGCGTCAGGCAGGTAGAAGCCAAGTGCTGGACCCCGCTACGTGTGGCGGTGTCTGGTTTCTCCTCTTCAAAACCGCTCAAGTTATACACACGCATACACACACATACGTACATTTGTACATACATACACACACATACATACGTACAT